TTGTTTCAGGGTTATATGATAGTGGTGAGGAAAGCCATGACGATACTATGGTGAGTGCTCCAGTACGTCCTTTTGTAATACCAGTCGTAGTGGAAGCCGTGACCACAGGACTGTGGGGTAGATATGGGGCACTGATAGACACGGGCTGTACCAGGTGTCTTATTAGCCAACAAGTGGTGGATGACTTAAAGTTACGGGTGGAACCATTGCTTACACCAATGAATTTTGAGCAGATGGATGGGTCCCTGCTTGGTGGATCCCCAGCCATGGTGATAACTACTCCTGTTAAACTAGAAATTGGAACTCATTGGGAACATTTACGGTTTATTGTTGTCCCACATATGTGTGAGGCACTGATATTAGGACTTGCATGGTTGGATAAGTGGGAACCCAATATATGGTGGGAAGGTGGTTGCCGTCATTTACAGCTTGTAGTAGGACCAGAACCCCCTCGGTCAGATCCAGGGGAATCCATATTGAATACATGAAAAGAGTTAGCAACCACCATAGTTGAACATCCAAATCTGCCTGCACCGCAAAACGGACTGCACTATAGAATTAATCCCAGGAGTGAAGCTACCTAAGTGCCGTATGTATGCTATGACTCCCAGGAAATGCAGGAGATGAGGGATTATTTGGATAAAAACCTAACTCGCGGAATTGTACAACCTGGAAGATCACATATAGCAGCCCCGGTGTTATTTAGGGAGAAAAAGGATGGTACTTTGCGTTTGTGTGTGGATTTTAGAGGGCTTAACTCTGTATGTGTGGAAAATGCATATCCTCTACCATTAATTAGCGAATTATTGGCCACATTAGCCACCGGAAAAGTCTTCACGAAGTTAGATCTGCATGAAGCATATTACAGAGTACGTATCAAACAAGGAGACGAATGGAAAACTAACTTCAACTGTCCCCTAGGTAGTTTCCATTTCAAGGTGATGCCTTTTGGGTTGCAGGGTGCTCCCGCAGTATTCATGCAGCTAATCAATGAAGTGCTGCATGAACATTTATATCGGGGAGTACTCATGTATTTAGACAACATCCTAATTTACACGCAGACTTTGGAAGAACACGTACAGTTAGTACGAAGTGTCTTTAAAAAGTTATTAGACACTAAATTATATGTGAAATTATCGAAATGTGAATTTCACCATAATAAATTGGATTATCTTGGGTATAGAATTTTCAGTGATGGTTTGGAAATGGATCCCAACAAAGTAACTGCTGTCTTGGGATGGGAAATCCCACAAACACGTAAACAATTGCAGAGTTTCCTTTGCTTTGCGAATTTTTATAGGCAGTTTGTGCCACAATTCGCTAGCATTGCGTTACCATTAACAGAACTGCTAAAAACAAAGAATCAGAAAACAAAGTCAACACCCAGTCAAAAAATTGAGTGGTCCACAAAATGTCAACAAGCATTTGACAATCTGAAGGCATTATTTGCCCAGGCACCGATTCTTACACATCCTGATCCCATAAAACAATATGTTGTTCAAGCAGATGCCAGCGACGTAGCTGTCAGAGCTGTCCTTTTACAACTAAATGAACAAGGAATGTTGCAACCCTGTGCTTATACTTCCCGTAAATTCACCCCAACAGAGAGAGGATAGGCAATTTGGGAAAATGAAGCATTTGCGGTGAAGTGGGCATTACATACATGGAGACATCTGTTAGAAGACACAAAAGAAGTTTTTGAAATTTGGACAGATCACAAGAATTTGGAGGCTTTACAAAAGCCTCGTCGTTTATCTCCCAAACAGGTTAGATGGGCTATGTATTTCAAGCGATTTAATTTTCATCTGCGCTATGTACCAGGGGGCTGAAATTTCATGGCGGATGCCCTGTCTCGTTTACCTCAATACAATGTGATCCAAGACGTGATTGTTCAGCCTCTGATATCAGATACAATACCCAGAAACATGGGACAAGCCATACAATTAAAGGATGTAAAGGAGGATATGTTACGAGACGCCACTTGCACAGATAAATGGATTAGCTATAATGCTGACTTGGTTTCCTATAGAGATAATTTGGCATGGAAAGGAAACAAGATTTATGTACCGGAGAAATTTAGGAATTATATTTTGGAAAAGTGTCACGATGACAAACAGGCCGGACATTTTGGGTTTTTAAAAACCTTGCATTTAGCTTGATGGCAATTTTGATGGCCAAAGATGAGGTCCAACAAAGAGCAGTATGTAAAAAAATGACATGTCTGCGCGGTGTCAAAACCAAGACTGGGTAAGCCATTAGGGTTGTTACAAACAGTATCCGAACCACAACATCCGTGGCCAGATATTGCGGAGTTATTGTGGAGTTACCAAACAGTAATGGTCATACAGTTATATGGACTATCATAGATTTATTCTCAAAACAGGCACATTTTGTACCTTGTAAGGGTTTACGATCAGCTAAGACTCTAGCCAATATGTTTATACAACAGGTTTGCAGATTACATGGAACCTCTCGACGAGTGATTTCTGATAGAGAGTACAGTTCACTGCACAATTCTGGAGAGCATTCCTCCGCTTGTTGGGGTCATCCCAGGGATTAAGTTCGGCTTATCATCCAAGCACGAATGGCACAGCAGAAAAAGCAAATGCTATGGTAGAAAGATACTTAAGATCATATGTGTCCTATCAACAAAAGGAATGGGCGGAGTTGTTACCATTTGAAGAAGTTGCATATAATAATGCGGTACACAGTAGTACAGGATACAATCTGTTTTATGTGGTGAATGGCCTGAAATTCAGCCCATTACTGGATTTTACTTGTCACCCCAACAACCCAATCAGTGTCCAAGAATGGGCACAACGGGTACAGGCTAGTTGGGTACATGTCAGAAAAGCTCTGGATAAAACAGCAATGGATTATAAAACATATGCTGATAAGAAGCGGCAAGACAATAAACCTTTTCAGGTTGGGGATAGAGTATACCTTTCAACAAAATATATTAAGTTGAAATTGAACAATAAGAAATTAGGACCCAAATACTTGGGCCCTTTCTCAATTACAAGAATCATTAACCTCTTATGTTCGAGTTAAAGTTGCCATCAATGTTGGGTCGTATACACCCAGTGTTTCATATCAGTTTATTGAAAACCATTGACTCTCAAAACGAAGTGCCTGAAATAGAAAACCGAAACCATCAACCAAATACGAATCAGATATAGATAGAATTCTCGACTCCCGTAAAAGAAGGAATAATATTCAATATCTAGTACGCCGGAAGGGATATCCGATGTCAGAGGCATCCTGGGTGAAGACATTGGATGTATATGTAGATCGTTTAGTGTGTCGTTTCCATAATACATACCCCGACAAACCTGGGCCCACATTATAATTAGATTAACTATCATGGATGTCACTAACACTAAAGTTTTTACTGTGTTGCAGGAGGATTCCTGGTAGAGGGGGCTGCCTGTCACGGCCCCGTGGCATGCTGGAGCCATGACACCAAGTGTTCCACTGTGTCTGGTTATTCTACTGCAGTAGTAAGCACCTGCCGGCCGACCGACACCGGGTTGGAATTGCCGATGGCGATATACGACGAACCCTGATGACGTCAAATGCTGAACTATCACAAGTTGCGGGCGGTTGTCGGCAGAGCGATGAACCTGCTGACCGTTAAAACAATGACCTCGGGGGGCGCATATACACTGGGAGGGCACAGGGGGCTTGGTGGTATATGGAAAGGGTGCTGTGGTGAGGGTATGGTAAAGGAGGGTGGATAATTAACAGAAGAATGCACGGTATTGAGGGTTACATAGTGACCGGAAATTAAGCGGTAGCGGCCACCGGATGGTGGATAAACTCATTACGTTATTATCTGGTGGATAAATATAGCTCTGGCTGCGAGTTGCGCCAGAGCTGACTTTACTATCATTTTTGATGCTTGTTGTTACCCGAACCCGAACTAATATATGGATGAATAAAGACTTTTCTATGTGCTGTGGAGCTTTATTTCCCTTTCTTTCTGGACTTCAGCTGAACAGCTGAGAAGGCTGACTCTGTAAACTACTTAGAGGGGGCTGTAAAGCACTGTGAAGTGGTATATAAGTCTAAGTGCTATTGCTTTTGCTCAATACTAGAGTCTGTCCAATTAGTCTTGTATAGTAGTGATACGGGATAAAGTACTCTACAATTTGGTATAACCCCTTCCCTTATCAATACAATTTCCCTGCAATTTTGAGGACCCTCATAAGTACCATTTGTTCAGCACTGTCATAACTTTGAATGGTTGCTGAACAGGACTATCTGTACCTACTTCATTAGTATGTGTGACTGAAGCAAGGGAGAACTTTAAGATGGAAAAGGTATGGGGAGGAGAAGGAATAGAAACTAAAACTTTTTCCATATTTATAAATATCACACATTTCAAGACAAGTTTCATATACAGAAGATTAAAAAGTAAAACAATATATAGCTGTCTTTTCCACTCTTTTATTCATACATTTATTCAAAACATGTGTTTCTTTATCAAATATACACAATAATAAAAGACTCTTGATAGTTCACACTAATAAATAGAACACAATAACAAATATAATGCAGAGCATATAAGTGGTCCTTGGTTAACACTGGTAATCAGGACCAGAATTTCCATCATAAATCAATGTGATTGCCAACGGAAATATTGTGCAAATCTAGCTCCTTAGTAAGACAGTCCTAGCACTCCCCAGATATTGTTATTAAGCATATCACTGGAGATTGTTTTCCTGTGACTGTGGTTTCCATTTTCCTGCAGGTTTCCCCTTTTATGAGGGGGAAGGTTGCAAACTGTCATCATATCACACAGGACACTGCAACAATACGAAATCTGGGTCAGTTGCTGAGCACCCAGATCGCAATCAGCGGCAGCCAAAACTTTGAATATATTCATAAATAATAATTGTTCAATGTTGGCCTAAGTTCAAACAGTTGCTGAATGAGTGGTCACTAACTCAGTATCACCTGAATAACAAACATTCCACCTATTTCACCTGAGTTCTTACCCTCGCCTTTGTGTAAGTGCTGAAGGTGGCTGTGCCTGAGGAACAAGAAGACGCTTTCGGAAGGGATCCATCAGGGATGGTGGCATTCCAGGTCTCATTGAAGAAGCTGTACCATATGGAGGGCCTGAAGGGGATCCCACTTGTAATCCTGCCATAGGCAACCTTCCACCAGGTAGCATTGCAGGGCGCTGGTTCGAAAGGGGGGGAAAAAAAGGCATTTTAGAAAATTTGGCCATGCAACTATCAAGAATTCATTGGAGGTTTAAAAGATAACGTTTGATAAAAAATATGGAATGCTATAAAGTGAATAGTAAGCCCAAGAATTTCATTCTGGCTTGTCCTTCAAATGCTTTTCATGCTGGAGAGAATTAAAGCAAGAAAAAAAATTACATATACATATTAAAAACACAGAAAAACATTACTCAGTAAAGGCTGGAATATACAATGATAACATGTAACAAAGAGCCCAAGAACACTCATATAAAAGCAGTACAATATGCACACATCTCTTACTTAGAAGTCATAAGAAGTAAAATTTCCAAGTTCAAACAGATTCAAACAGATAATCAGAGTTGGAAGGGACCTTGTAGGTCATCTAGTCCAACCCCCCGCCCAAGTGGGAGACCCTACCCCATTTCTGACAAATGGCAGTCCAATCTCTTCTTGAAAGTCTCAAGTGATGGCGCTCCCATAACTTCCGAGGGCAAGCTGTTCCATTGGTTGATTGTTCTCACTGTCAGAAAGTTTCTCCTTGTTTCCAGGTTAAATCCCTCCTTGTTCAGTTTCCATCCATTATTCCTTGTCTGGCCTACAGGAGCTTTAGAAAATAGCTTGACCCCTTCCTCCCTGTGGCAGCCCCTCAAATATTGGAAGACCGCTATCATGTCTCCCCGGTCCTTCTTTTTACTAGACTAGCCAAGCCCAGTTCCTGCAACCATTCGTTGTATGTTTTAGCCTCCGGTCCCCTAATCATCCTGGTTGCTCTTCTCTGTACTATTTCTAGAGTCTCAACATCTTTTTTATAATGTGGTGAACAAAACTGGATGCAGTACTCTAGGTGTGGTCTTACTAAGGCTTTATAGAGTGGTATCAGTACTTCCCTTGATCTTGACTGTATCCCTCTGTTAATACAACTTAGGATTGCATTAGCTTTTTTGGCAGCAGCTGCACACAGCTGGCTCCTATTTAGCTGGTTGTCCACTAAGACTCCAAGATCCCTCTCACAGTTACTGCTATTGAGCCTGGTTTCACCCAGTCTATATGTGTACTTTTGATTTTTCTTGCTGTTTTTTATTATCTTTTCCAGTATCTTCCCAGGTATTCATGTTAGGCTGATTGGTCTATAGTTTCCTGGGTCTGTTTTTTTTCCCTTTTTTGAAGATGGGAACCACCCATCAGCTCTTTTCCAATCCTCTGTGAGTTCCCCGGTGGTCCAGGATTTTTGAAAGATATGGTGCAGTGGTTCTGACATGACCTCTGCCAGCTCCTTTAAAACTCTGGGATGTAATCCATCAGGCCCCAGTGATTTGTTTTCATCAAGATCAGACAGGTGTTCTCTTACTATTTTTTTATTTTAACTTTTATTTCTGGTCTGTCTTTTACAGTTATGTTTTTGGTGGGTTGAGCTATAGTTTCTTTTTGCGTGAAGAGGGATGCAAAGAATGAGTTAAGCAGTTCTGCTTTCTCTCTGTTGCCTGTTACTTCCTTGCCATCTTCTCTCTTTTGTCGATCGACTGTTTCCTTGATTTTTTTCTTGTTATTTATATGTTGGAAGAAACTTTTTTTATTGTCTTTGACTTTTGTTGCAAATTAACAGCTACACTGCAACAATGGAAGGAACTATGGGCTAAATCTACATTTACATCAAGTTATAACTTAAAGGAAAATTAAGTTGGAGTTGTTTACCATCTAGATTGGTAAACATTATACATTCTTCATTATCATCATCGCCATCATCATCGTCTATCCACTGCATGTTTCCAGCTGTCATTTTAGCCATTGTCTATATTCCGCATGTTGGAAACATTGGTCTTGAGCTTTCTTTTGCCAATTGGACCCAACAATATTTGCTGATATCATTGATCTATTTTGTTTTAGGTCTCTTTTGTGGATGCTTTTTATCAAATGGAATTCATACTATACCTGCTTTAAGTCCACCTGCTATCAGTTCTTCTTGCTGTGTGACCAGCCCATTTCCATTTCAATTCTTTTACTCTCTTGATGATATTGTATATTGTTCTCTAATCCATGTGCAGGTCTTTCTTATCTTCTAATGCCAGGCATGTATCTTTCTATGGTTTTTTGCACCACTTGTAACTTTTGTGTCAGTTGTGAGATTACTGTCCATGTTTCGTTGGCATATGTTAGAGTACGTAGCACACATTGACTGAAAACTTTTCTCTTCAGGCATAGGAAAGATTGTTTGAATGATTATTATATATAGAATAGATGATAAGCAGCTTCATCAATAATATCTTAGCTATACAAATTGTATTACTATTATTGTTATTATTATATTTTTATCCCATCATACTAACACATATAAGTACAAACACACTTATACACTCTCCAGGTGGTGAACGTTCTTAACACTGGTACTACTATTTCCTATTTTCCACACAACAACAGCGCTATGATTGGGCTAAGACAGAGTGATTAACTCAAATTTTGAATTAATCACTCTGTTGCTTCTGTATTTAAAAGAAGCCTAGAACTCAGTCTTCTGGTTTCTAGGCCAGCACCTTAATCGCTACAGCAAACCAGCTGTCTAATTCAAAGACAATTCCAAGGTGTAATTCCAAGACAAGATTGTGATGGACATGTAAAAGAATGCAAAAATATTTGAAAGTCATATATGCAGAAGAACTCGAAATGAAACTACAACTTTTCCTAATGGATATAATAACCTCAGAAAAAAAATCAAAGAGAAATGTAATAATTTAATGAAATAAATACTTACTGCAGAGAGAAAACTGGAAGAAAAATACAATCCCATCAATTTCTCATTGGAACATGAACATGGTGAATATATAGTAATGACAAAAACTAACAATATACAAGTAGTTCTTACTTACTGACCATTCAGAGTTATGGTGGTGGTGAAAAAAATAACTTTTACGATCAATTTATGCCTTTGTATGCCCTCAATCATGTCTCCATAATTTATTGATTGATTGATTTAATTTATATTGCTGCCTATTTGTCCATGGCAACTCGAGGTGGCTTACACAATGTAAAACCATATTTAAAACAAAAAATAAAAATAAAAACAATAAAAACTAACAAAAAGAATCAAATAAGTTAATAAAGTACAATAGAACAAAATCTGGAAAAAATAAAAATCACCCCCCAACTCCCCCCCATCCCGATGACAGCAGATCACACTAGCTACTTGATGGGCTCTATCCTGCTCTGGGTGCCCCAGGCTCGCTGGCAAAACCAAGTCTTCAGTGCCTTCCGAAAGAGTGCTAAGTGGGGGCCATTCTAATCTCTGGTGGAATGATATTCCAGAGAGAGGGAGCCACCATGGTCCCACCAGGAGTATCTCCCTCAGGGATGGGATTTGCAGCATGCCTCCCCTCTCTAATGGGTCGGGTAAATGTGATCGGCAAGAGATGTTCCCTCAGATAACCCAGTCCCAAGCCATGAAGGGCTTTAAAGGTGACCACCAGCACCTTGAATTGCACCCAGAAGCAAATCAGCAACCAATGTAGCTCCTGCAGGAGAGGTAACACACGTGCATACCGGGGTGTGCATAAAACCATGCGGGCTGCTGCATTTTGCATTAACATGCCAGAACATGTTGTCCAGTGCCTGAGCTGTGGGTTTCTACCTCCCCCCTCTCTTGCAGAACATAGAGATTGGAGAGAAAGGGATCACAAGAAAGTAAGCTGTTTGCTATTCAAAAAACACAATGCAATTGCATCAACAGGTCAAGGCTGGGAGCTACAGATGCACTATGCAAATAGCTTACACTACTTTCTTGAAATTTCTTTCTCCCCAATTTTTCTGCTGTATACAGGGAAGTGGGGAGAAAAAAAGCAAGTAATTTCTATAGGCAATCTCTCCTTTGCCTTACTCTTTCCTGCTGCTATCATGATCACACTGCTCTCAATGTAAAGAAGAGATGCTTACCCCCTTGAAATCTCTGTCTCTCCAATCTCTTTGCTCTAGGGAAATGGAGGGGGTGGCTAGAGAGAAAGAGAGCAATTTCTGCAGCAATCTCTCCTTTGCTCCCTTCCTCCCCCATCCTCCTGTCTTAGAGCAAAGAAATTGGAGAAGAATACTTGAAAAGCAATACAATTGTAATGGCATCAGGAAAGAATCTGGCAAAAGGTAATTTCAATACTTTAAGCTATCTAAATAATAGAATATTAATAGTCTCTAATTATATCATATAAACATTACTGTGCTGAATTAATATAATGTATCAAGTTGTATAACAATATATTACAGTTCAAAAAAGTTTCCAACATATGCTTTTATAGAAGTAAAAAAAAAAATCACTGGAAGCAAGACTGCTTCCCATGGTAAGCCAAAAGATAACAATTGAATGCACATTTAAAATTTGAGCTTTTAGTGCTTTTCCAAAGAAATATGAAGAATATACATCCCTAATGGAATCTGCAGCATATTTGAAATGGAATCTGCAGCATCTTCACAAAATTATAATCCTAAAATAATTGTGATAGCTAAACAAGTTTAGGACAGTTATATGGGCATGCCTAGAATGAAAAAACCCCAAACCCCAAAAACTTTAACCGTAGACTGTCTACTATTGACCTCACCCCTTTCCTAAGAGGTCTGTAGGGGGCGTGCATAAGCGCACCAACGTGCCTACCGTCCCTGTCCTATTGTTTCTCTTATTCTTCTTTTATTTTTCTTATATGTACCCATTTCATGTATTCACAACTATGTATACACTTATACTTATTATCTTGTAAACAATTGGCAAATCAAATAAATAAATAAATAAATAAATAAAAAAATGAGCAACAGGGTTGGCAGGAATGGATTCCCCCCACCCTTTAGTGTGTATTTCAGATTTTGAGACAATATTATAGAATTCTTTCAAGACTATTGACATGAGGAAGCTTGTCAATTCATAAAATGGCTGCCAGCGTGGATGTAGCCAGCTATCTAATATCCATTTATCAGAAAGTAAACTGTATGGTGCTCTTTACTACCC